GCAGGCTGGATGGAGTTCGGCAGGCACTTCCCCTGCACCACCTCCCCGGTGCCCCAGTTGATGGCGGCGTAGCCCGTGTAGGGCACTCCTTCCACGTGGTAGTTGGACCCGTCTACGAACCACACGACATAGCCCCTCTCCTTGGCCACCTCCAGGCTGAGGCTGCTCTCAAACAGGGGTGCCCGGCATGGCTTGGGCTCGGCCAGGGGACCCCCCACCTCCTCCTCGTCCCTCTCTCCGCTGATTACCACCCTGTAAGCGCCGGATGAGGGCGCCACTGTCTCCATTGGGCCCTCCTTGTTGGTCAACGCCAACGCCCAGTTGGCCATCCTGGGGTAGCGCAGGGGACCGCCATCCCCCTTCCCTGACAAGAGGTATCTCACTGGGTCGTGGGAGGTCCTCAGCAGCACCGGGGCTGACCCCAGCAGGTACTCCCAGTGCTGCAGGGCCCAGGTCAAAGCTAAAACCTCCCTCTCGTAGTCGGTGAACTGCTGCTCGGCCGGTATCAGGAGCCGTGAAGCATGGGCAACGGGGAGGAGGCGGGCACCGTGCTGCTGGCCCAGGGTGGCCCGCAGCCCCCTCCCCGTGCTGGCCAGCTGTAGGATGTACAGTCTGTCCCCCCGGGGATGCACCAGCATGGGGGCTTGCGCCACGCTCTCCTTTAAGGTCTTCACCGCCTCGTCCTGCTCTGGCCCCCATTCCCATGAGGTGTCCTTCTTCAGGAGGTGGCAGAGGGGGGCAGTTTTCTCCGCATAGCCCTCAACGAACTCTCGGGAGAACCTCAGGAGAGCTAGGAAGGACCTCAGGGTAGTGGCATCGACTGGCGCCGACACCTTCTGTATTAGCTCAACCCTCTGCTTCTCAAGTAAGCGCCCTTCCTCCCTCAGGGTCATCCCTAGGTAGGAGACCTCCTTCCAGCACAGCTGGGCCTTTGTGGGGCTGACCCTGAAGCCTGTCTTCTGGACAGCCTCCAGCACCTCTGCCAGCACCTCCAGGTTCTCCTCCTTCGTCCGGGTGTGGATGAGGATGTCACCGGCGCAGGACAGCACACTCTCCCGGTGGCCGAGCTTCTCCCACATCCTCGTGACGTACGCGTGGCAAATGGCAGTGGCATTGTGGAAACCCGGGGGAACTCTGGCGAAGGCAAATTGCCGTCCTTGAAGGGTGAAGGCAAACTTGTGCCAGGATTCAGGGTGCAAGGGGATGGCAAAGGATGGGCTGGTCAGGCTGAGCACTGAGAACCACTCGGATCCCCGGGAGATGGCCGCCATGACATCGGGGTACTTGACCACCGCAGTGGTCCGCAGTGGGGTGACACGGTTCAGGGCACTGAAGTCAACCGTCAGCCTCCATGTTTTCCCATCAGCTTTCCGCAGGGGCCACACCGGGGCATTGCTGGTGCTCTGCTGCTCCACCAGCACCCCCTGCTCCAGCAAGGTTTTGACTGTGTCCAACAAGCCAACCTCAGCCTCAGCCGGGTACCGGGGCTGCAGCTGAGGAGGGGGGTCTGGCCCTTTGACTGTCACCACAGCGTCCATCTGCCCGCAGTCCCGCT